TGTGTTTAGAAAGGAGCTGTGATGTGCAGACACTGAGACACTGAATCTGGTCAGTCTGGTGTTCTGCTTTCCCTCTGAGCCCTTCTGCCTTCTGCGACTGTGGACAGAGATGACCCAGCCTGGACTGTCGGGACAGGAACCGCCCCTCAGTGGCCTCAGTGATCTCTGAAGACTTTGGCCAGGCTGGGTCTTGACCATCTGGACTTGAGGACTGGAAAGTGGGTGTGTGGTGGTGGTGGGGGTCCCAAGGTCCAAGTGTCTACAGGCTCAGGGTCAGGAGAGCCTGGAGGGACTGGGGTGGCCACTACCACAGCCCTGACCTCGTGCTGTGACCCCCTTCCCCTGGCCAGGTGAAGCAGATGGGCGAGTTGGGGCTCCTGGCCATGGACGTGCCAGAGGAGCTGGGCGGTGCCGGCCTGGACTACCTGGCCTACGCCATCGCCATGGAGGAGATCAGCAGGGGCTGCGCCTCCACGGGCGTCATCATGAGCGTCAACAACGTGAGACCGCGGACGGGCACACACACTTGTGGGTGGGGCCCTGTGGGCAGGCAGCACTGAGCACACTCACGACTAGGGCTTTCCAGGTCCCCCAAGTCTCTGGCTTTGGTCCTGCCAGGTCAATCTCCAGAAAGGGCCAGCCTGGGGGAGGGGGAGGGCAGGGCTGGCTGGGCGTGCAGGCCTTGACCACCCCCTTGTCCCCAGTCGCTCTATCTGGGACCTGTCCTGAAGTTCGGCTCCGAGGAGCAGAAGCGACAGTGGGTCACTCCTTTCACGGGCGGTGACAAAATTGGCTGCTTCGCCCTCAGCGAGCCAGGTACATGGGTGGACGGTGGGTCTTTGCCCAGCTTAGCCCTTCCCTCAACCAGAATCAGGGGTACAGTCTCAGATTGGAGCTGGGGTGCCCCGGGGGATGAGGCGGGAGCCAGGTTCCGTGCTGACCTGGGTCTGAGAGGAGGGACCGTTCACTGTGAACCTGGACCAGCTCTGCTTGTGGGCTGTCATGGGTGGGCTTTGTCCGGGGCAGGGGAGTCTGCCTGTGGACAGTCCTAGGTGGGCTCTGTCCGGAGCTCCCACCGTGGAGAGGAGCCCACCACCAGCATGACCCCAGGCTTTCCCGCGCTGACCGCTGGGCTTGGGGAGCTGGTGGCCTGGGGCTTTAGAGCACTTGCATTGCAAGGTTTCGGGCATCACCAGCGGGGTCCTGCAGCCTGTTGTGATGGGGGCCCGGGGTGCGTGCAGGTGGGTGGAGGCGGTGAAGTGGATGCAGCCTTCGGCTCTGCACTGGGCAGGGAATGGCAGCGACGCCGGGGCCGCCTCCACCACGGCCGTGGAAGACGGTGACGCGTGGGTCCTGAATGGCACCAAGGCCTGGATCACCAATTCCTGGGAGGCCTCTGCAGCTGTGGTCTTCGCCACTGTCGACAAGTCCAAGAAGAACAAGGTGGGCGCCTGGAAGGGCCAGTGGACGCCTGGGGTACAGTCATTTTAGAGATCCCAGGCCAGGTTCCTCTGCGTCTACCTGGGGCTTTGGCCGGACCTGTGGCTGGTCCTCTGTGGGAAGCAGGTGACCTGTCCTGGTGGCCTTCCACTGGGGACCGCAAGGGGCGCCGGGCCTGCAGGTCCCAGGGCAGTGGGGGTGGAGTGGGACCACCCCTCTGAAATGACCCCCGGCTGGGCCCTTTTCAGGGCATCAGCGCCTTCCTGGTCCCCATGCCAACGCCGGGGCTCACGCTTGGCAAGAAGGAAGACAAGCTGGGCATCCGGGCCTCGTCCACGGCCAACCTCATCTTTGAGGACTGTCGCATCCCCAGAGAAAACCTGCTGGGGGAGCCGGGGATGGGTTTCAAGATCGCCATGGTGAGTCTGGGAATGGGGACCCCGGTGTGAGGGGTGCTTTGGGGGGCAGCAGCCCCCAGTCATTGGTTGAGACATCCCCACAGCAAACCCTGGACATGGGCCGCATCGGCATCGCCTCGCAGGCCCTGGGCATTGCCCAGGCCGCTATTGACTGTGCCGTCACCTACGCCGAGAACCGCACGGCCTTTGGGGCGCCGATCACCAAGCTCCAGGGCATCCAGGTATCGGGGGTTGGGGGGACCTTCAGGAGCAGAGCCTTTCCCTCCCCTCCTCCTCCTGCTGTCCCTCTTGGAGGGGCAGCCACTGACCAAGGGCAGGACTGGCTTGTTGCAGTTCAAGCTGGCAGACATGGCTCTGGCTCTGGACAGTGCCCGGCTGCTGACCTGGCGCGCTGCCATGTTGAAGGACAACAAGAAGCCGTACACTAAGGTGCCAGTGGATGGGGGTCTCCTGAGGGGGCCGTTGCTGGGAGGCAGGTCCGTGGCTCTGGGTTTTTGCTCCAGGTGGAGGGAGGTCCCCGGGTCCATCTTGCTGTGGGGTTGGTCCCCCAAGTGCATCTTCTCCACGAGGGAGGTTCTGACTCTGCTGCCCCCTGTGGTTAGGAGGCGGCAATGGCCAAGCTGGCCGCATCGGAAGCCGCCACCGCCATCAGCCACCAGGTAGGCAACCCCGGACTATGTGCCTGCTGCCCCACTCCTGGCCTTAGGTGCCACGGCCTGCGCCTGTGCCCCATGGAGAGGGGGTCTTCTCTCTCCTGAGACCCTGCTTCCTCCCATCTCAGGCCATCCAGATCCTCGGGGGCATGGGCTACGTGACGGAGATGCCGGCTGAGCGGCACTACCGCGACGCCCGCATCACCGAGATCTACGAAGGCACCAGTGAGATCCAGAGGCTCGTCATCGCCGGACACCTGATCAAGAGCTACCGAAGCTGAGCCTGCCCCGAGGCCCCGGAGCCGGGCAGGGACACCGGCCTCCGTGACTGTCTCAGGAAGGGGACCGGGGCCCCTCAGGCCTCCCAGTCTCTACTCTGAGCTGGATGCACGTGGCCTCTGAGGCCCCAGACACCGTGTCTCTCCCAACACCAGACCACCACTGCCTGGAAGCATGTCTTAGGGACCCACGTCAGCTCAGCACCTGACTTTACTACCTCTTCTCCACCAGATGCCCCAGTGCCTCCATCTGTATCGAAGTGGCCCCTAGGCAGAGGCCTGGGGACCGCTCGGCCCTTTGCTTTGCTGCCTCTGTCCATAACCAGTGCGCAGCGTGAGGACTCGGCTGGGACAGGCTCGGGCAGCTGCTGAGACAGATCCTGAGTTTGGGATCAAGAGAAGGTGGTGTCGGGCCAGAATGACCACATCTCAGGGTGGCAGAGGCCTGGGGTGCTGCCTGCCCACAACAGGGCAGGTTGTGTGCTTGTACAAGTGGTCAGAGCGCCCCCCACCCATAAAGTACCCTGGGGCAGGGTTGGCGATCCAGGATGGGCTCTGGGTCAACGAGCATGAGGGATGCTGGGTAATAAAGAGAACCCATGGCCCAGTGACCTCAGTTCTTCACTAGTGTTTCCCAGAGAGAGGATGTGCCCTCTGGAGGGGTGTGTGTGTGTGTACACTTCCTGTGCATATACCTCCGTAGGGGGGTGGGCTGTGTTGATGTGGGGTGTGCTGTGTGTCTGCATTCTATCTTGGAACTGTGGATGGCTGTGAGTGTGTTGAGCTGTGTGAGTGTTGAGCTGGAGCTGTGGGCTGTGTAGGTGGCTCTGTATGTCTGTTATGTTGAAGCTGAAGGTCTGTGTGGGTGGCTGTGAGTATGTGTTGGTGCTGTATCTCTGCGTTATGATGGAGCTGTGGGTGTGTGTGGGTGGCTCTGTGTGTTGGTGCTGTGTCTGCCTTATGTGGGTGTCTGTGCTGTATCTGCGTTATGATGGAGCTGTGAGGATGACTCGTGTGTGCTGAACTGTGTCTCTGTGCATTGTTTTGGATCTGTGGATGGCTGTGTGTGTTGGTGTATATCTGCCTTGTAGAGTTGTAAGGGTTTGTGCACGACTCTGCAGGTGTGTGTTGAGCTCTGTGTCTCTCTGCACATTATGTGTTGGAGCTCTGTGTTTGTATGAGGGGTGTATGTTGATGCTGCGGTGGTATCTCTTCTCTGGGACAGAGCCCCCTCAGCTGGAGGCAGGAATGGCTAGTGAAGCATCTCAGGAGGAAAGGGGCGGGTGACAGGGAGGGCTGGCTGGGAAGGGCCTCTGGGCCCGTCTGTGATTGCCAGACTCCCAGGCCGGTGGAGGAAGGAACTCGGCTGCAGAGCCCTGACCCTGGGCCCTGACGAAGCACCATGCATCTCTTGAGCTTAATATTTGGAAGCTCAGAGTGGCCAGCACCTGCTGGACGGCGACTGGCCCAGGGCCCCCCAGTCCCAAGTAGGCAGGGCGACTTGGGCTGAACTCCCCCTGCAGCCCACTGAGCTTCATATTTGGGTCTGACCAGTGAAGCACCCGGAGGAGAAAATGAGCACCGAAGGATGTCCGAAGAGACCAGAGGTCTGGACAGGAGCTGCTGTGAGGTCTCGGGAGCGGGGGAAAGGAAGACAGGCAACCCTCTAAGAGCTGTCGATTGGACCAAAGTCCTAAGTGCTGAAAGCATTTGTGCTCAACTAGCTGCTAACCTAAAGCTTGGCAGTTCAAATCCACCCAACAACATGGAAGAAAGGCAACACGGAAGAAAGACCTGGCATTCTGCTTTTGTTAGGACGATAGCCAAGAAACCCCTCTGGAGCCGTTCCTCTCTCCAGTCACCTGGTGCTGAATAACGGCCTCACTGAGCATAGGTTCCTCTGCCTGATACCAGCTCCTCACAGCTGGTGGGCACCGCCTTGACCCACCCCCCAGTCTGCCCCCAGTGGGGGCAGAAGCCAGTGACGTCATTAGGGTCAGTGGTACCACCCCCACCACAGACCCTGCAACATCTGTAGTAATGTCTATCACCAACATTACTCACAATATAGATTGTTGTTATTAGGTGCCATCAAGTCGACTCTTGTTCAGAGTGACTCTGTGAGAACAACAGAGCTGAACCTTGCCGTGTCCTGTGCCGTCCTCACCTTTTCTGATACACGCGAGCCCATTGCTGGCACTGTGTCCGTGCATTTGCTGAGGGGTTTCCTCTCTCACTGACCCTTCTCTACCTTTCCCATGATGCTTTTTTCCAAGGACTGCCCTCTCCTGACAGCATGCCTGAAATACGTGAGACAGTTTCCCCATGCTTAACTCTACGCAGCAGCCTGATTTCACTTTTCTCCAAGACAGAGTTGTTTGTTCTTTTGGAAGTCCATGGGACGGTCAGGACTCTTCTCCAACTGTGATAATATTTCTTAGAGGTATGTTGTTATGTACAGCTGAGTTGGAACCAATCCATAACTGACCCTACTAGAAATTGTGTTATCAGCATAATGCAGATTGTTGATGAGTCTACCTCTAATCCTGATGCCACATTTCTCCTCATAGAGCCCAGACTCCCAGATAATATGTTCTGCATTTAGATCGAAAAGGTATGGAGATAGGACACATCCCTGGCATACAGTACACCCTTCCCAGTTTTGAACCAAGCAGTGTTTCTTTGTTCTGATGATTGCCTCCTGGTCCAAGTATAGGTTTTGCATAGCACAATCATGTGTTCTGGGATTCCCATTCTTCTCAGAGTCAGCCACAGTTTGTTGTGATCCACACAGTCAAACATCTCTGCATAATCAATGAAACACAGACATTCCCCTGGTGTGCTCTGCTTTCAGTCAAGATCCACCTAACATTACCTACAGTTTCCCTAGTACCACGACCCCTTCTAAACCCAGCCTGCACTTCTGGCAGTTCTCTGTTGATGTGCTGTTCCAGTTGTTTTTGGATAATCTTTAGGAGAATTTTGCTTGTATGCGATATAAGTGATACTGTTTGATAATTTCCACACTCTGTCAGATCACCTTTCTTTGGAATGGGAATATAGATCTCTTCAGTAAGTTGACCAGGTGGTTGTCCTCCAGATTTCTTGGCACAGCTTGGTGAGCACATCTAGGGCAGCATCTGTTTGTTGAAATATATCAGTTGATATATTGCGTCAATTCCTGGGGACTTTGTTTTTTTCCCCCAATTCTTTCACAGCAGTTTGAACTTTTTTAAAAAAATATTGTTTTAATTATTTTTTTTTTACATTAAGCTATTCTAAATCTTTAATCAAATTCCATCACTGGCCATTATTACATGACAAAATTAGCTTTCTATAAATGATTTTGCTTTCTGTGTACAAATCATCATTATTGAAGTAATAGTAATAAAAAGCAAATACTAGGCAAAGACCTTTATTAACCTTTGTTTCAAATTTTATTCCCAGGCTTCTTCAGC